ACACACACACACACACACACACACACACACACACACATACACAGCGTCTCTTCTCTACTTTGTTCTTATTATTGATAATTATGTGAGTGACCAGCAAAGAAAGCAACAAGATTTTAAGGCAAAATTATAATGTTTGTCCTTTAAGAGACAATAAAGGCCCAATGGAATTTTTCGACCAAGATTATTTTTCAAACCTTTCAACCAGATGCTCTGTAGTTTTCTCCTGTTTTCCAAACTTCTGTTTGTCTTTGCTTTCCAATAGACAGCATCTTTCCAGACATCTACTTCTCTTCTTTTCTAGGACTGTCAGTGCTGTGGCTTTCAGAGACAACTTCCCACCCTCTAGCTTTGCCTTCATCACATTTTCCAGGTTGAAAAAAGCTTATGAGCTAGTCCTTCTCTCATTCTCTCCTTCATCTTACAAAACTTTCTTTTTGCCTAAGAAAAAAGAAAAAGATATACAACTTGATTGAGCAGGGTGTACATAATTTCTTCTTTTTCTTACATCCATTATAGCTATTTCTGGAACAGTCTTAAAAATAAGTTGACCTGTGTTATTTGGTCACATTTTTCTAGTCTATAAATTGCTACTAAAGATCAAGTCCTGGATTCCTTCTGATTGCTGGGATACCACTTGTTTCAGTATCATGAAAGAACTTTATTGGCCAGGAGGAATTAACCAGCTCCCCCTACCCCCAGCCACCCAGCAACCTTTCGGCTAATATCTCACCTCATGAGCAAACTCATGAGCCAATCTTAAAAGGAAAGTGCATTTAATAGGAGTCAGGGATTTCTCATCTCTGACAAAACTTTCCCCTTTGCTCTTTGTTTCTTGAAGGAGAGTAGAGCAGATTGATGGCTGCGGGGAGAGGAAGGAGGAATTTCCAGACTACTATTTCTCCAAAGAGATCTCGTTTCCTATGCTGACTTAGAAAATAATGTTATATCTTGTGGATTGTGTGTGTGTATATGTGCGTGTAAGCACACACACCCCAGCAATGGGCCTGGACACTCTCCCTTACCTTTTTTTCCACTCAAGACTAGAGCTAGCTGAGCACCAGTGGCTCACGCCTACTCTGGAGACTGAGATCTGAAGATCATGGTTCAAAGCCAGCCCAGGCAGGAAAGCCCATGAACCTCTTATCTTCAATTAACCACCAGAAAAGCAGAAGTGTCACTGTAGCTCAAGTGGTAGAGCACTTGCCTTGAGATGAGAGCTCAGGGACAGCACCCAGGCCCAGAGTTCAAGCCCCACCACTGACAAAACAAACAAACAAAAAACAACTAAAATTCTACTATTTGAGCCACACCTCCATTTTAACTTTTATGGAATTTCCTGACCAGACTGGCTTCAAACCATGATCTTCAAATCCCAGCCTCTTTAGTAGCAAGGACTGCAAGCCTGAGCCACCAGCACCTGCAGTGTTTTATGCTTTTGATATTTACATTCAGTCCTTATAGGGGATGTCAGGTCCCCATATCCCTGTGCTCTGGTACAGTGGATCCTGGAGACATGTTAGCTGATCCTCATTCTTACAGAGGATCCCTTTCCTTCATCTTAGCTCACAGACATGACTGTGATGTCCTAAGAAGTTTACTTGAGAGTTGTCTCTCACTTAGCACTATTTGCTGTCAGTCTTTCAATAGAAAACCTTCCCCAACCCTCACCCCACCACATACACCAACCCCCTCTTCTGGCTTAAATCCAAACAAGCTCAGTTATTTAACTAGCAAACACTCGGAGGGCAGAATTTCTGTACTAAAGAAATACATCAATCCCCTATAAGACAGAGCACAGAAAAGCCTCCGTCCTTCCCCTCCCCAAAAGATGCTTCCAGCTTCTAATTGCCCCTCAGTGTGGATATTTACGGCTGACATTGGTACATCTCCTCTTACAAGACATGTAAAGGGAACCTATTTCAAAGCATCCATTGTTTATAACTGTTTTAGTTCTTTTTTTTTTTTTTTTTTTGCTCCAGGCTCTTAGAACTGGAAAATAGCTAATCAAGAGTAGTGCAGAAAACTGATTTCAGCTGTTTCCTTTATGGTTTACACTCTTCGTTTCCTTTTGTGACAGCATTCTTCTCTCTGGCTTTCCAGATGGGTGTCTGGAACGAGAAAGTCTCTTTGAAATGTATAAATGGGCTACTGCAAGTTTAAAGAGTAGACCTTTCTTCTTCTCCCTCTGAAATCCATCTCTCCTTATTTGTTCTGAAAATCCTATTCCTTTTTCCTATTAATAGTGCTTGGCTGCAAGTAATAGCCTCCTAGAGAAGAATTTAGCATTTGCATTTAAGCTGTGTGTGTGTGTGTGTGTGTGTGTTTGTGCTCAATAATACATTTTTTCACTAGCAAGATGTTAAATTTTGTTTCGTTTCTCCCTATTTAATGTATGCTAGTGAGCCACAACATCTCCCTAGAAAATAATACTAAAACATAATAAATGTACTAACTTCAGTTTGGATATCATGGCTGATGCTATGCCCCACCAGTGGGTACACACTCTGAGCTAGACACTGTTCCTGATGCTGGTGGTATAGCAGTCCACAGCTCAGCCAGCCTACAGCCCCGGCTAACCTGGCCCTGGCAGAGTCCAGTGATGCGTTTGAACTTGTCTTCTCAGAGCCTAATGGAGGTGCTGCTGCTGTTTATCTCCATGTTGGCTGGTGACCAGAACACTCTGATTGTTCAGACATATCTTCCCACCAATGCAACTTGCATTGCGTGAGAGGACCCTGGGACCACATGGCACAGCTCCCTGGGAGGTGGAACAAATGCGAAGAGGCCCTGTTCCAACATCACCAGACCACTCAGATTCTTGTTGCCAATGTGTTTCAGCCACCATGAGGAGCTGTAGCCACACCTGCTTGGCTTTCATTTGGATGTGTGTCAAAATACCAGGGAAAAATCACGTTAAAGGAGGAAAGATTTCTTTTGGCTCATACATCAGAGGTGTCAGTCTGTGATCACTTGGCTCCTAAGTCTCTAGATACAATGGGGGTGCGTAGAGGAACAAAGCTGCCATATAATGGCATCCAGGGAAAGTTTCTACTACTTCCCAATAGCCCCGTAAGCTATGAATTCATAAATGAGGTTGAAGCCCTCATGATCCTTCACCTCCCAGAGACCCCACCTCTGACCACTGCTTCACTGGGGACCAAGCCTCCAGCAAAAGAGCCGAAGGAGACAGTTAAGCCCTAACCATGAGAAGATGAATAAGGCTTGGAGAGATGTGGGAAAATGCTGAAGGGAGTGACATTGATCTTGATGCATTGTGCTCATAAACTGGCATGTTGAATTGAACCCTCTTTAAACGACTACTTAAGGATAATACAAATTTAAAGTAGAAAAATTAAAGATTCAAACCATAACTGTAGCCTTGATCTTCCTGCATATCATTTGTTTAATTTTGCTTTCCTCCATCAGAACTGACCAGCTTCCAGCGCTATTTAAAATACCGTTAATTGGCCAGGTGTTATAACGTACTAAATTTGCCATTTTCATTTTAAAAAATATCATTTTACCATTTTCATTTTTATTCCCAGGCTGTGTTGAAATAAAAAAATTCAGTTGAAATTATTTATCTGTGAAATTAAAACTCTGACAATATCCTCAAGTAGACTCTTTTCTGAAAAGTTTAGTTAGGGAAGCCTGGCATTTTTGAGCCTGAAGAAACCTGCTATTTAAATTATCTTCTATTTCAATTATCAGATAAATCAGAGAATGCAGGGTTAGTGGTGGCTCATGCCTATAATCTTAGCTAGTCAGAAGACTTGAGGCCTGTAGGATCACCACTTGAAGTCAGCTAGGGCAGAAAAATCCATCTCTAGTTACTCAGAAAAACACTAAACCTGAAGCTTAGCCGAAGTAGTAGAATGCCATCCAAGTAAACAACACACACACACACACACACACATTCATACACACAAAGAATGCCCCATTAAAGTTGAATATCAGATAAGCAATAAGTATTTTCTTAAATGTATGTATGTTCTAAGAAATATTTTGACATACTTATACAGGGACATTGTCTATTGTCCCAGTATAAGTATGTCTATTACTGTATATCAAATTTAATTGTACACCTTTTATTTTTACTTGTTAAACCTGTCAACCCTAATAACTCTCCAACTCATACTGTAAGCAAATAAGTTGTAAGGTAAAGCATAAAGCTTAATTGAAATTTACTAACTTAAATTACGTGGTACCACTCTAAAAAGCAGGGAGAGAGAAAGGGACGTATTTTTTTGTCTGAAGATGGAGAGGAAAGGGTGGAGAATAAACTCCTATTTTTATCTCTGCTCTAAAGGCAGCTTATTGCCAGAGCTAACAGGGAAGCTATAAAATGCGACTTTCCAAATTTAGTTGCTATAATAAATAGTTGCTACTATAAATAATGAATAGAAGAGTGCACCCAAACTCTGCAGTAGGGTTTCATCGTGAGTTTTTATAGAGGCTTTGAAAATTAAGTACATCCAAGATCATAGTGGGTATAATGATCCAATTTTGCCTCTCTACAACCCTTGAACTTTCTCCCTTTCCTGAATTTTCAGAAACTTCTTTCTCTTCATCTTCCCTGGATGCTTTGTAGCTTTGTTCTCTTGGTGGAAGCTGCTAAAAAAAGAAAAAAACTCCTAAGTTTCTTAGACATGGTAGTCCAGGTCAAAAGATTTTGGGGAACACCTGATTTTCACCAGTTTTTGTCTTCTATTTGGAAAGATTTTGGTCAAGTAGGGAATCATTCAAAGTCTTCTTTTTTATTATTATGAAATAATTCCTGAGTCTGTTGACCTCTATTAGACATGGTACTCTAGGTCAAAAGATTTTGTGGAACACCTGATTTTCACCAGTTTTTGCCTTCTTTTTGGAAAGATTTTGGTCAAGTAAGGAATCATTCAAAGTCTTCTTTTTTATTATTATGAAATAATTCCTGAGTCTGTTGACCTCTATTTCAGCATAACTCACAGAAGTGGCTGTTGACATTTTTTTAAGTAAATGTGATTTTTTTTCTTTTTGAGCACAAAGGCTACTGTACATTTATTTCGGTATTTGTGGTCATTTTCTAGATTCACATTAGACTGTAGTCATTTTGCAGCTTTTCAGTTCTTATTAGAACCCTGACATTCTGGAAACTCTATTAGAAATACTCAAGAGTTCCTTACCCTAATGGTTGGTAAGCAACTAAAATTCCCTTGTCTTCTTCATAAAACTGGGTCAATGGGGGTCATAAGATTTGCATAAAAATCGCTAAATAGTAGGTGATTGATGGTTCCTTCCACAGCTACGTAATCCAAAATGGTAACCGCTAGATTTGGAAATGTGCCCAGAGTGTTGATGTTCACTATTAAGCTTAATAGCACAGAGTTAGCCGGTGCATGTTTTCTAACTGTCTACTTTAAAAAAGAATACCCTATTGGAGCTCACAGGAGAATGACATATTTCCAGTATGAAACCTTGGGAGCATAGCATGAAATGGTTCTGATTCATTTTCTGATTCATTTTTATTGTTCTTTTTTATAGTGCACTAACTCAGTTTTTCCAGTTGTTTCCTGAGTACAGAAACAATGATTTCTATGCCACTGGAGAGGTAAGTTGATATCATGTTTTCTTGAGGGCTTCAAATACCATCAAGACTGAAATATATTCTGACAATTGCAGCTTATTTAAAAATATATGCACATATGAACAGATATATGTATGTATATATTAATAGTGTTAATACTCATATGTTATACATTATATTATACATATATTATCTATTTGCGTTAGTATTGCAATTTTAATACAGGGCCTTAAACTCTTGCTTGGCCTTTTCACTCAATGCTAACATTCTACTGCTTAAGCTCCATCTCCACTTCTGGATTTTGCTGATGAATTGGAGATAAGCATCTCACAGACTTTACAGCATGTTCTGGCTTTGAACCTCAATCCTCAGGTCTTTGCCTCCCGAGAAGCCAGAATTACAGAGCCAATGCCTAGCTTTCTATGTTAATATTGATTTAGCCTATATCAAGAATTACCCAGTTAGCTGATAGGAGTCAGGGTTTTCTCATCTCTGACAAAACTTTTCCCTTTACTCTGTTTCTTGAAGGAGAGTAGAGCAGATTGATGGCTGGGGGAGGTGCGGGGAGAGAAAGGAGGAATTTCCAGACTACTATTTCTCTAAAGACATCTCATTTCCTATGTTGACTTAGAAAATAATATGTTATATCTTGTGGGTTGTGTGTGTGTGTGTATGTGCATGTATGCGCACACACCCAGCAATGGGGCTTGAACACAGGGCCTGGACACTGTCCCTTACCATATTTTCCACTCAAGACTAGAGCTAGTTGGGCACCAGTGGCTCATGCCTGTAATCCTAGCTACTCAGGAGGTTGAGCTCTGAGGATCTCGGTTCAAAGCCAGCTCAGGCACGAAAGTCTGTGAGACTCTTAACTCCAATAAACCACTCAGAAAACCAGAAGTGGCTCCGTGGTTCAAGTGGTAGAGCTCTAGCCTTTCCCTCTAGAGCTGAGGGAAAGTGCCCAGGCCCAGAGTTCAAGCACCATAACTGACTAAATAAATAAATAAATAAATATTACCCATGTATTCCCCAAATGTCCTGTATAACGTAATTTTTAAACCTCTGCTCAACAGAATATCACATGTTAAGACAAGCACAGCAGGTTTGCTTGTGTCAATCCTTTTGTCTTTTACAGATTTTTTTAAAGCGGAGCTGACAATCGAACCCAGGTCCTCATGCATGCGAGGCAAGGCACTGTCACTGAACTATATATACCCCAGCACAGTCATGTGCGTTTTTGTTATTGACATTTACAAAGACATTGGGGAAGCCAAGAAAAAATACCTTGAAGAATGTTCCAAATTCTGAATTTGTCTGATTCTCCTCAGTATTTAGATTAAGGGAAACATGTCACAAGAATACCATATAAATGAATATATATATATATTTTTTTTGGGGGGTCCTGTTGTGGGACCTGAACTTTGGGCCTGGGCGCTGTCCCTCAGCTCTTCAGCTCAAGGCTAGCGCTCTACCACTTGAGCCACAGCGCCACTTCCGGCTTTTTTCTTTTTGCTTATATGGTGCTGAGGAATCGAACCCAGGGTCTCAGGCATGCAAGGCAAGCGCTCTACCACTGATCCACCTTCCCAGCCCCGTGAATATATTTTTGTGACTTTTTTTTTCTTTTTTGCCAGTCAGGGCTTGAACTCGGGTCCTTGAGCTCTTTTGCTCAAGGCTTGTTACTCTACTACTTTGAGCCACAACTCTACTTGTGGTTTTCTGCTGGTTAATTTGAGATAAGAGTCTCACGGACTTTCCGGCCTGGGCTAGCTTCATACTGTGATCTTCAGATCACAGCCTCCTGAATGGCTAGGATTACAGGTGTGAGCTACCAGCACCTGGCTTTCTCTAGCATCTTGGTGTGGACATCCACATCCTCTCAGTTTGCCTTTTTATGACAAAACTAAGCTCAATCACCTGAAGGTTGTATCTTCTAGATCTCACCATTATAACCATATCTATTTTGTTAGCAATTAATAGATAAGACCATTTGGGTATCTTTACTATCCAATTTTAAGTCCCAGTGCTTTTAGAACCATTAATTTTCCTGCCTGAACCTGTAATTGCCCTGGAGGTTATACAATGATACTGTTTCTAATCTTGTTTATCTATATTATCTAGCTTTCTTAGAGAAAATTTCCCCTTCATTTATTGTCTTCATTTGATTATAAAAATAAACTGCAGACTCAAGCATTTTCATATTTTCTTCCTTCCTTCCTTTGCTTCTTTTCTTCTCTCTTTCTCTTTATCTTCCTTTTTTCTTTTGTTCTTTCTTTCTTTCTTTTGGGAGGTGGCACTGGAGTTTGAACACAGGGGCTTGTGTTTTGTTCTGTTTGCTTGTTTGCACTGCTGTCAATCTATCACTTAAGCCATGCTTCCAGCCTGGCTTTTTGTTGGCTATTTTTCAGATGGAATCTAGTGAACTCTTCTGCTTGGGCAGGCTTTCAATTTTTATATACTAATTTTGCTCAATAGTCCTTCAAGCTGGGTCCTCTTTCCTTTATTCCTGAACCATTTAGGTTTTGAACATCTTTCTTTCTTTTTTCTCTCTCTCTCTTTCTCTCTCTCTCTCTCTCTCTTTCTTTCTTTCTTTCTTTTCTTTCTTTTGGTAAGCATATGTATTCCAGAAACATCTTGTTCTCTCCCTGCCCTAGGTCTGGTATTCGTCATCTTTTGAAGAAATCCCAACTCCTTGTAATGAGGGATATTTAAAGGCCAAGTCTTAAGCACTAAGTGCATTCACTGCTACTGGGAGGTCATTTATTTGAGATATGGGCAGAGCAAAGAAACAAAATGACCTCATGCTGATACCCATAATTGAAATTCCTCTCTCTTCCTTCTCCATTGTACATTTGTATATTCCATCTCCTGCATCAAGGACCATGGTTCCCAAGAGTATCCTGTTTACTCTCTTTCTCAATAACCCAATGGTTTCAGAATTAGTACAGCAGCACTATGGTCCTCAATAAATCAACCTCCCTCCCTCCCTCCCTTCCTCCTTCCCTCCCTCCCT